GCAGCACTCGCTCTCGGTTCGGAACTCCAGTGGATGGAGCCACGGAGCTGCTTTTCCATCGACTGAGTGTGAAAAAGCAACAGCCGGTGCTTTTTGCATTTCTCATCGCCTGTGAGGCAACATTTAGGACTTGAAATTATTTGTGAATATTACCATTATCAGAATTACACATGCATACCGAAAGCTAATACATCCTTATTCAGAGAACTGTGACGCACAGGCCAGCACAAACGCTCTCTTGATAAACAACCAACCTGCGACCACCTCTCAACACTTTCTAACCAAAGCTTTCCTAAAGGATGTTCTCCTTCAAGACGTCCTAGAGTATCAAACAATATCTTCCACACAAAGAACAAAACTGAATTATCTAAGTTGAAACTGGGAGCTGACAGGACCTGCAGCTGAGAAGCCTCAACTCTACATCGGAGCAGAACATCAGTACTCATCTGCTCCCTGCCTCTCTCCTCCACAGCGGTGTGATTGTCAGCCTGCACTCACAGTTTAAGGAAAAGAACACATTTTCTTTAATGCTTTGCATCAGGAACCATGTAGTAAATCAAAACACACAGGACTAACGTGTGAATCTTTACTGTGAACACACTCCACCCCTCGAGTGAGCCCGACCCTACTGCAGGAGGCAAGGACCACAGGACAGACACAGTCTCTATACACCAGCTGGCTCTAGACTTAGGCGGAAATTAAATTTACCCCAGGATACTATGAATACCCACAAAAACACAGGAGAATACGTATTTTTAATTGTTGGTGAGCCAAAAAAGTCCTCATGCAGCTGATGCACTTCTAAGGAGCAGCCCTTCAGCCAACAGATCGCATCGTGGCCTGTGGCTCCCACCCAAACCATTAAACTTCCACCATTCAGATCCCAGCACTACGTTGCCCTCAGCATTTCAGCATTATCACCTTCAATATTGTTCCAATTTTACTCCAATATTATTTGTCTCTCTAGTACATCTGTGACTTATTTTTAACTGCCCAGCTCCCAGAGGTCACTACATGTGAGCAATCCTGCACAGAAAGAGAATGTAAGAGCCAAAAAGGCCATTACAATTTTGTTTTACATTTAAAACAAAAGCAAACAAACACAAACCTGCATATACATTCTTAGGGCTTTAGTTGTTATCAAGGATAATGCAACTGGATTAATAGGGCCTTACTGAAAATAAAAACCCAAATGCCTGCACAGCAGAAGGCACTAGCTAAGAAAGGTGGGACTGTTGATACTGAAACAATTTGTTTTTGCAAACAAAACGAGTGGAATTCCCGCTTAATACATAACGGGTCCATTGGCTGTTATGAATAACACTCTTCCCTTTTCTTTCCTTGTGCACGTCACCCTTGCAGCGTGGTACAGAGCTCAAGAATTTCTTTTGTGGAACAGCGGCCGCAGTTGTGTTCTCTCTGTGAGTTTTTACAAGCTAATACCATGTCTGCACTTGCTTGGAGTTTAACTCTTCTCAACTGTTTTTATAAACAAAACAGCCAACATAGGAAGCTAGACTTAAAAAATGATGTGTGTCAACACATGCACACACACACAACTCCACACACTTTTTCCTTCTGTACTGAAAACCAATTCAGCAAAAGAGCTTTTATATATATGGGAAAAAAGAACACAGAATCTGAGCACTGAGGTATATCCCAAGGCAAGACAGGAGATTTCTTTCAGTTCCCTGTGTCCTGCAGCCCAGGCCTGTCCCTATTTTCAAGTGCTCAGGTGCTTTCAGGAAGTAAGAGGCAACAGGCAGATAAATTTGCAATAAATAAACCTGAAGACACACACACACCTCACAGCCCCATCTCCCATTCTGACTGGCCTTGTACCAGCTGAAGACAGCTATTTCATAAACCCGTAACTGCCATTCCCAGGGCTGACATCAGATTAGAGGTGTCACAAACATTCAAAGAAGAAAACTGGCCAGAAGTTATCTGTATATCCTCTCCCACCCAGGGGCCTCACCCCCCTCACCCTTTCCTGGGGGCATAGGTGCTACCTGGGCATAGAATAAATCACATCACAGAACTTAACTAGTTATTAAAAAAAAAAAAAAAACACACACACAAAACAAACAAAAACCCACAAAACCCACAAAAAATAAACTCCGTTTTTTTCCCGTTTTCTTCCCTCCTTCCCCAACTTTCACTGTACTTAGATAACAGATGAATTTGATGAATCCCCTGGTGGCTCCGGGTCTAAAGCACAAGTGAAGGCCATTTTTCTTGAGGGCCACTTGACAGAGAGAGTTACAGGGGGGAAAAAAACAAAACAAAACAAAACATGCCAAAGCTTTGGGCCCCCCCAGCTGCCCTTGGCCCACACTGAGGACGGCAGGAGAATTACAGAAGCCAGAGCTCTCTCAAACAGAGATGTCTGGCAGCTTTCATCACATTACTGTTGGAAGTCTGGCAAGAACGCTCCAAAACTGCAGGAAAATATCCTGAGGATACATCTTCCTCTTCCTGTTCTATGAGCACAGCTGTAATAAAATTTCCCTACACTTTTACAGAATCTTTAAAGATAATCAGTAGATGCATGTTTCCACTTACTGTTTGGAGTACTTATTTTCAGAGAATTTTGGTAAGTCAGAACAACAGAACCAAAACAAGGCCAGTTCCAAGCCCTATGACCACTGCTTCAATGCACTGCCTTTCAATTTTTGCCATGTTTTACACAATTTATTATTTTTTATATTCTAGATCTATGTTTTTAGGGTTTCTACTGCAACTGCTTGAAGGAAAGAAAAAAAAAAAGCTACAAAAATTCTACATTCTTTTCTTTCTTAAAAGTACTCCAATACTCAAAGGTATTTTGTTGACAACTTTGATATGAAAGAGCACCCCAGATCTCCCAGCAGTCATCACCTAAGATGCGTTAGAAAAGTCCCTGAGACAAGATGCTCTGTTCAGTAGGTATTGAGAGCAGATGCCAGCAGAGATCAGCAGAAATGCCATTCTCACCCACCCCTCACTCCACACCGCCTCACACGTGCAGCAGAGATGACAAGCAGCCCCCTTTCCCACTGAATTCCTGTCTTAAGTCACACTTTAGTTCAATAAAGCTGAAAACACCCACAGCAAACTCACTGTCATTGCTCTCCGGGCTGAAAATCAGTCAGATTATTCCAACCCTGCAGTCACTGTAAAGCGTTATAGCCCCAGCGAGGTGGGACCCCGTAGCCTGCATTTAACCACACGGGAGATCAGGAAGGGTATGGAGAAGACATCAGTTCCAGGAGAATGTTCAACTACTCCCAAATTATTCTGCATCTGCAATGCCACACAGAGATTACTTTAGAAATCTGAGGAATGTGGCCCACCCTATCTTGAGGGCAGCAGGAAATATTCCAGAAGCTTCCTGAAGCCTGTCAGGGGATTAAACCCAGAAGATTCATCCATTTGGCCATATTAAGCTGAGTTAGCATTAAGCTGACCACCTGACCTTCACCAACAGGAAAAACTTAAAAAATATGCTAAAATGTGAAAAAAAGAAATCCATACTTACCAATTTGCCAAAATGGGACAAAATGAAATACAGCCCATTGCATAAAATTTGGAATTGTTACACACACAGAGAGCAAAGTATTTTAAGCAAGGTTATTAAAATAAAACATTTCAATTAACAACATTACAATTACCAAATACAAGGGAATACAATTCCCTGGTGGAAAGCCATACGGCTTTCTTTTGGAGGCTATTTCTGTGTAAGTAACACACAGAGAACTTCATGCCAATTTTCAAGACACAATTTCACTTGATTTTTTTCTGAGTAACTTTTAAAGAAAAGCACAAGAGCAGATACTTTAGGAGGAAAAGGAAAGGGTTATCATCTTATTTTGATTTCACCTGAGGCACAAGCCTGTCTCTTATACACATCTCATAAACTCTGTTTTATATATATATATATATGCACATTATGCAGTGTAAAAGTGACAAAGTTTAGCACTTCAAGTGACAATTCTGCTGGCAACACAGGAAAAAATAATACATATTTCAGGATATAAATACCCTCAGAAATTAATGAAATAAGATCTTTCACTAATGTTTTTCACACATTGTGGAGGGGTTATAACTGCCATACATGTCCTATTATGAGCAAAATAGAAGGTGTTCCCTTTCAGTCTTCACATTTAACATAATTATTTCTGCTTACCACTTTATAGCAGTGACCCTTACAGAGTGAAAGTCAGCTACATTTCTTCTATGAAACCACTCATCTTCTGTATCCAACATCCTCATCCCTAGTGGCATCATCCCAAAAGCCGCAACAGGGGAAAAAGGGAACAGCAGACACCCCTGCAATGGTATTATGCCATTCCAGATGACCCTTTCCAATTTAAACTGGACAATAACTCTGATCCCACAGCCAATCTAGGACCTAAGAAGCAGCCCCTTGTATCTTAGAACGATGAGGTTTTTAGAATACTAACAAGAAGCCAAGTAAAGAAGAAGGATCAAGGAAAAGTGAGAGTCTGAGAAGGCTTTCAATTAGATCAGGCTCCTTGTTTAGGACAAAATACAATTTGCATCGTTATCATATCACGGGAACAGTCAAAAATAGTCTACACCATATTCTGTACAGACATCTGAATCTTGGTCAAATACACAAACCACCACTTTGTAACACTTTCCAATTGTAAAATCCAGTTATTGCTGAAACCAAAGTCTTTACTCAATGCTGCATTAGACAGACGTTCAGATTTTGCGTGCCATGGAATGGATGTTTGATGCACATTTTTTCATCTGGAATCACACAAGACAGAGTTTGATATACTGGAGGAAAGTAAGTAAACTATTCTGAAAGCATTTAATTGCAGCCAGAGTAATGGTGGAATATTTCAGGACCTGCTCTTCCTCAGGAGCTTGGCCACAGCTCAGTTTGAGCTCCTGTGCTGAAGTCAATGCAAAGGAGAAACAGGCAAAGTGCAAAC